CACAACATGGCATTATAACAGAAATCTGAGAATGAACCAATGATTCTTTTTAACGCTATTTAAAACATTATAAAAATTTGCAACTTTGTATTTTCATCAATTTGAACATTACCTTTAAAAATTTGTTTCTTGAATTTTTTTAAATGTAGTTTTTTGGGTTATGTTATATTGTTGCTTTTTGCTACAAAACTGTTGTTGCAAACTTAGTGTTATAAAACATCAAACGGTTTATTATTTATTATTGTTATTCATGACCTATTAAAGTAAGAGTTTACTTTGGAAACTTGTCATTTATTTGCCTGTTTTTGAGCAAAGAGTGCATACTATTATATATTTTTGAAATAATAATATTTTATATAAATATACAGAGAGCCCCATTAAAAAAACAAAACAGGGTCCAGTAACTTTTTGAATTGACTCTGTATATTATTTCCGAAGGCAAAATTGAGTTCTGATTTTTTAGATAAGTCATCTGAAATACGAGGGTACCTGAAAATGAAATGAACATTTTCAATTTCGCTCTGTAACTTAAAAACTATAACGGCTATGAAAATTTTGTTAACATCAACTTTAGTTTTACGAAAAAGTAGTATACTGTCGCGAAAACCGCGACTTTCTATTCAAAAAAAATAACGGTGATACCCCACAAAAGTACTCAAAGTGGGACAAAATGTATAGCTGTCGAGCCACCCAGTACACCGAATCCAACCGCACGCGCTTATTCCTAAAATTTCTTCAAAGGCTAACTAACTTATGACCCAATGATTTGCCGCTAACGTTAAATAAATCGGTGGTATATAAATGGCAGTAAATTAACATAAACGACCTTGATTAAGTGGTGCGTTTAAGTCCTCGCCCTCGCGTGCGCCCGTTAACAATAATAACGGCGCGTTATTAGACACGACATTCGGAATTATTTTATCAGCAGCGAGTCTGATGCACACAAGGACCCTTATTTCCTGCCATTTATTAGCAATCACGCGGAGCGGGAGCCGCTAGCCTTTTCTTACCCGGTGCCAGTCGACCAATGTTCGTGATTGTATTAATTATGCGTGAGCCACCCTTGCTTGCATGCCGCCCGCCTGGCTTAATAGCTTCAACGCGACCAATTTCTAGTGTACCGACCGAATCGCTATATCTGTATAATGTAAGGCAAATTAATTTTATTGCCAACTAAACAGCGAAAGATTTTTGTCTACCAGACACGCAACCCCACACGAATAAGGCAAACATTTTGTGTTGGATATCTCCGGCGGGGGTTGGTTTACATCGACCTTTTTTTTTAGACCGCCGGTGTTTTCATTTTATCGATAATTTCACCCCAACGCAGGAAGACAATAAACCAACTGGGCCGGTGCGAAATGGTCAATTAGCTAGAAATATTTGTGTTTATTTTGCCGCGTAGAGTGGATAGTGGGAAAGAAAGAGACGTTGCATTGCATTAATTTTTCCTTAAATTTAGTTAAGAAGAATGATAGGCGTGACCTCTTTTAATCCACACCACCCATTTAAAAAATATATATGCGGAAAGTGTCTTTTTATAATAACATATTATTTACTTGTTTGACTATTATCGTTTGTAAGATAAAAAATAAAAACATTGTTGTTGGCTTTCGACCTAACATTTATATAAAAAAATACTAGTATACTAGTATACTAGTAGTAACTTACTTTGCCACCAATAGTATATTATGCAACAAGTGCGGTAAACGGCATTTGAGTCACGAGTTCATTGATAAACGAGTGACTTAAAAATTTTGCCAAATGTGTTGCATACTATAATTTTCTAAGACCCATAGTTTTTGGGTACATTTTTCAAAACAACACGAATACATTCACTGACATTCCCGTCAGAATTGACCAACGTCAAAATTCAAGCCGTGCGATAAAATCTCCAAAAACATCCGATTGCTCCCAAACCCGTGTGGTAATATCCCGAAACTGACGTGGTAAAGTGACGCTTCCCGCACGCTAGATCGGTGTATTGTTAGGTATTTTACAGAAGAGAGTAGAAAAAAGAAAAAATGCAACGATATTTTCTCTGTGTCATTTAATAGTCAAATTAGGGTTCGACAACCCAGTGAAAAATGCATTTGAATATTTAAAGAATTTAATCCTCAAAAACAATTCGATTATGGGGAAAAAATCCACTTTGCGAGTTAAGGTCTTCATCTGCAGTTTACCAAATAAAACATTACCGCACTTGTTGCACAATATACTATTGAAATCAAAATAAAATTTTTATTATTGTTTTTATTACATTTATTTTTAATTATTACTTTTTCTAGACTTCCAGGGTACCAAATTATCTCTTAGCTGTCATTTTTGTGTTGACATCTATTTTCAAATATTTGGTGTTATCACTTATTTTTCCATTAAAAATTACATTCAATGACTAACTTCGTCATTAATCAATTGTTGGAAACAAACTAATTTTATTGATGTTTGTATGGAGTAAAATGTGGAAGCCATTTAAAAAATAAATAAAACATCTAGTTTAACAAAAATAATTCATTTATAATTATTAAGATTGCCATAAAAACAAATTTTATTTTAATCTGATGTCACCATATAGCTATTAAATATATAGAGAACCTGACTATGCCCATAATAAAGTAACATATGAAGCAACTATGAAAACAAAATTGAGGAGGTCCGTTTGACATGCGCATGCGAGAGATTTAAAGTCTGGTTTTTAACCAATAACCATGTGGCATTCAACAACCAACAATATCATGAATAAGTTTGGATGCGGCATTTTTACAGCAGTATATTCTCAAGATATGCCTAGGTGTGGGAAAATAAGTTAGGTATGTGGAAATTACTGTTTAGAAAGTGCAAAGGTGCAAAGTGACTGAAAGAGGCATGGGCGGAAAATCATTACATCAATTTTTTATTATTATTTATTTTAATTAGTTTGTATGGTCATTCAATATCTAACGGAAATCGATGCGTTAGAAAGGATGAAAAATACTTTATATTTCAATATATATTTTACTACTTCAATAATTCAATAGTTAATAAAATTGGTTTGCCTTCAACAATTGATTAGTCTTGGTTGATTGATTAAACTTAATAATTAATGGAAAAACAAGTGATAATACTAAATATTTGAAAACGGTTAAGCATATCAAAACGTACAAATGTCAACTACCTTTCGAATGTATTGTAAAAGGGTAATAATGTGATATATTTAATATAATAATAATAATAATATAATTTATAATAATTTAGATATCATTTGGCATCCTAAATATTCAGGATAAATGGACATTAATAACTAACCGTAAAAGTGGAAAGCTTTTCCAAAATCCATCTTTTCTGAACATTAAGTTCTTTTATGCATATTTTAGATTAGATATTTAGATGGTGTTTTTACTGGGTTGTTGGGATCTTACTTGACTATCTAAAGACATAAAAAAACTCGTAGTGTTGCATTTATTCCCTTTTAAGAAAAATATTTTTTGTTGCGATTATGTCAGAAAAATCCAGCTGGTGGCATCACAACCGCATCACTCACAGCACTATTTTGATATCCTAGAAAAAGTCCTTTTCAATGATTCTAAATTTATTAAAATTCGTTAAGCCTGTTTGGAGATATGGGACATTGTTTGATGAAAATATCAGAACACCCATCCACTACTTTCTTTGCAGAGATAGAGCAAACACGATCACAAAAAACATTTGAATATGTCTCAGCTTTGAAACAGCAATTTCTTTAACTACGGTCAACGTTAGACATTTTTGTACACACCGAGTTTTTATGTTCAAGATAACTCTTTTACTTAATAATTGTTTTTTCATGTTTCTATATAAGATGTCTTTGCACTTTCTATGACATCCGGTATGTTGAAACTGGTAATTACATGAGAAATTTAGCGCATCCATATTAGACATTATACAGTGAACGGCTAAAAATTGAACAAATTTGTTTAAATATCAGGTATTTTATTATAAGATCCACAGTGAATGAAACTGAGACAAAATTTATAGAAACAGAACATATCAAAGATCGTCTATGGCCAGATCATCTAAAAACTAATGAGAACACAAATTTAAAATTTTTATTAGTTGTTAAGGATAGCCATCATCGTGCGTCTTTTGAAATAGCTTCAAATAATGATATCAGCCAACGAACAGCTTTGCGTGTATAAAAAAAGAAAAGTATCATCCGTGCAAGATTATATTACTACAGAAACTGAACGAAGGTGATACGGACCGCAGACTACAGTTTTGTGAAATTATGATTTAAATGTGCAACTTAAATCCATTTCCTCATCGTCAGATACTGTTTAGTGATGAAGCCACGTTGTGTTTCTTCGAAACGACTAATTCCTACTATCGCAGTTCCTTTTCCAAATGCAAATAGCCTGATATGTTTGATGGACAGATTTGGTTTCAATAGGATGGTGAGCCGCCCCATTTTGCTCAACAAGTGCGTGAAATACGGTATTTCTCGGACAGTGGATTGGTAGAAAGGGATCAATAGAATGACCTGCAAGATCTCCAGATATTACTGCACTGGATTTTTCCTTTGGGGATATTTAAAATCAAAAGTGATTTCTCTCAATTTTACAAACTGCCTTGAGTTCTCGTTTAGTCTCCATATACAATAAAAATTTAAATTTAATTTGTCTTGGTTTCATTTAGATATTCACTTTCTTTACTGACAAATGTAATTGTGACAATTTAAGAACTTTACTGATGCTACCAGAAAATACTTACGTGCTCATTTCAAAATTAAATTTCTGATTTTCACTCTTTTGCACATAAAATAAAGGAAAAAGTAAGAGGTAGGTATAAGTTATGCTATCCAATGATATGAAAATTGATTTGAAAAAAGATGTTCCATTTAAATAAAAGAACGTGGTATCGACATCTGAGCAAAATGAGAGAAAACATTATTATGGACGTATGCGAGTCATTTTCTTGAAATCCTTTATCTGATTTTTAAATGAATTTGTTCCAGATTTTAGCTGTTCACTGTACCAGAATCTTACCTGCACTCTGACTTCCGGCAAGTTAACCTTCATGGCCAATTCTTCGCGACTGTATACGTCAGGATAATGGCTCTTTTCGAACGCCCGCTCAAGTTCGTGGAGTTGATAAGTGGTGAACGTCGTTCTATTTCTTCGGTGTTTTTTCTTACATCCGTCGGCACCATCTCCGAGGCCCGAGCCGGCATTCGTTCCGCCTTCATCTTCGGATCCGCTTCCTCCGGATCGCACTTTCCCGCCGTATCGGGATTCCGACATTCCGTCGTTCGAATTGCAACTTCCGCCACCACCTGGAAACGTACAAAAAATATTTGGTACCCTCCATTAAATGTATTTGGTCGATTACACCAAAAGAACGCGTTCACTGATATTTCCATAACATTAATGATTAATGTAGTTAATAATTGAATTAATTATATTAGTAGTAAAACAAAAATCATTGATTCAATAAATTAGTTCATTAATTCATTAACCTTATTTGCAGAATTAAAAACCAGTTCATTCGATAAATTGAGGATGCGATGTTTCATCACCACGGTGAAAAAATATCTAAATATTAATATTTTCTATATATTAATTATGATTATTAACAATTAATTCATTACTTCAATAAGCATATTGTTTAAATTAATAATGAAGGTGACTAAAAGTCAAGTATTCGTTGCGTCTTTTTGCGAACGAACGAAAAATACAGGTAAATAATTTGAATTATTTGGGATGTCTTATAAATAATAACTTCAGCGAAATAAGAATAATTTTGTATTCGTTGCGTCCTTTTGCGAACAAACGAAAAATACAGGTCAATAATGTCAAATATTTGGGATATCTTATAAATAATAACTTCAGCGACATAAGAATAATTTTAAGTCTATATTACGACCAAAAAGCAGCCATACGAATAGAAGAAATGATGACGTACATGAACTGTCATTGAACATAAGCAAATCAAAATACATGCTGATAACAAAAACAACGTAGGACATTAGTAAAATGAATGTGAAGAACCAACCTACTGAAAGAGTCAGAGAGTAAGAAATACGAATCCGAATTGAGCAGTCCAGAAGCACATTTACAAGTTCTTCTGTTATTGAGATCTACCTTGGACTGAATTGCGCACTTGAAGCCTGGACACTGAAGGTAGCCGACACGACTACAAGCATTTATGACGTACCGGCCAATATTGAGGATTTCATGGGTAGAGAACGTAACCCACGTCGAACCGATGAGGACGCTTGCGTCAGGCATGCAGAAGTTATAGCAACAATTAACAGAAGCAATATGCTATATATGGGACATGTCATGAGGAGAGAAAAATATAGAATGCTCCAAATCATTATGAAGGGAAAAATCCGTGGAAAGAGATCTGTAGGAATGAGACGAAATTCATCGCTAAAGAACCTTAGGGAGGGGTTTGGATGCAGTAACAACGAAGTGTTTAGAGCAGTCCTGATGATGACCAACCTTCGAAATGGAGGCAGCACAACGAAGCATATATAATAAATAATATCCAGAAATACAAATTAAGAGCAAGATTAGGCAGACGCAGATAGGACGCATTTTCGAGAAATAAATTACAAAATTACAAAAATATGTAATATCGGTTACTAATGGAATATAACCACCATTTTAATTCGTTCTTTAAAACAGCATTTAATTTGTTAGGAAAATAAAAAGAAAAGAACCAGTGTTTTCTGGATGAAATATTGTGGAAAAATTAGACAAAAATTATAGGTTATGGGCCCGGCTTAATGTATTGCCGCTCAAATACACTCAAGATAAAGCAAATTAATGTGTTTCTGCATTGATTAATATTTAAGGTCCGCATATAGGTAAGCGATAGGCAAACACAGATAAGCAGCGGACGCTCTATATCATTAATTTACAATATGTGCTTGTCGTGTTTGTATTGTACTTGCATCAGTTTCCCATACGCGCATTTATTCCCTACAGTATGTCATTAGATAGTTTATTTACTTGTAATTTACTTTTTAAAGCATTTCACTGCATCGCTTTATGCTTTGTAAACGTGAATGAGCTATGGGGGACTTCATTTAATATTAGCTTGTATGTAAAATGTAGGATCTCGAAATTCCATTGTTTTTGTTACATGTTTGTTGTATGTTTGTTAGTTTAGGCAGTTTTTAGTTTCAGAAAGGTGGTGTAGAATAATGAAACCTCATTAAGTATGCAAAGCGTCTACCAGAGTCACCCGACGAATATTTAAGCCACTTTCATTATTTGCCATTGCAAAATTCTTTCTCTCTATCGCAAGTATTACCGCTAGGTTTTGGATCAATTCATGGATTCTGTCTATTATTATCCATTCAAAAATACTGAAAATGGTGTACCAAAGGCGTCCCGGTATTTTGAAAAGCCTCCTTATTTGGTCTCCGACTCAGTGCCAAAATAGGAACGCATTTTCGAAGATATATGCGTCTCGATTTTGGCCCGCAAATTTTACGTTTCTCGAATCAAATGGACGTCGATTACTTTTAGAATGTTTTGTACGTTAATACACATGTTATTACACTTAACAAACTAGAATCGCACAGGTTTATATTATTTTAAGTAAGCACAATCGTCGAAGAAATCTGTAAAAGTTTGATAAACTCCATAGTCTCAGATTTTTCTCTGTTGTAATATGAAGGTGAACTAAACAAAACACAAAGGATTATGAAAAAGCGTGTTCCTAAAGGTGTTAAATTTGAATTCTACAAACGGTTTGACTGTCAGCAATCTGCCCCCAATATAATAGTAAACAAAAGTAACCAAAACTAGCCAAATCTATGGAGTTTTAAAATCGTCTTCTTAGAAACATTGAATCTTAAAAAGCGTCTGTCATATTTCCAAGCTTGACGCCAGTGCTATACCAAAGAGTTCATGGCCCAAGGCTGAAACTCGGAAGTTAACCGAACAAAAAGTCGAGAAACCAAAGAAAGCCTTCAAATTTCAACTTCTCACCGTTGTCGCCAAAATTTTAAGCATTTTATGCTCAACTTCTCCAATCTAACCTTTAGGAGTAAACCAATAAAAAAGTATGTGGTAGATGCGTTTGCCGAACAGTATCGACATAGCATTAGGATTACCCAACTGAACTTATTTGGAGAATTACAAAAACCATTGTAACCAACATATTGTTGCTTGTTTGAAAATGTGTTTCTGTTACTGTGATCCTTCAAATGTCGAAAAATTTTATTCCACTACAGAAGGAATAATTGACGAGTGGTATAACAAGGAACGAGCAATGGGCAAGCGGGAGATTCTTCTACTTATAATTAATGTTGTCGACGACTGTAGTGATTCTACTGATTTCGGTGACTTAGATAAATGAAAATATTCTGCACGTAATCAACTATTCATAACAAATAATTATATATATATAACTTTTTTATTTCGATTGACAAATTCCGAAACATTGTTTATATTGTCAGAAGCAAATGTTTACAATTTTTACAATCTAAAATATGTCGATTTAAGGAAAATATTTAAATGGCGGCCATACTTTAAGTACAGGATGAGCCAACAATAGAGTGAAATTCATTATCTCATTGGTTTCAAAAGTTATGAGAAAATTCTAAATCCAAAAGTGATAAAGATTCTTTGGTTGCACAATTTAAAATTATTTTAAAGTATACAGGGTGGCTCAATCATGACTAATAAAACATACATTTTTTTAAATGGCACACCTTATTTTCATTTTTTTTAATGCGTTTTGAAATAATGGTGCTTTTTCAAGATAGATCACTCACATTAGCGTTATTCGAAGATGACGTAAAAGGTATATGCAACGGAATTTAAGGGTGTTCAAATATATTTGGATTATTTTAAATTGAAAAATCTCGATTTTCTTAAATTGCACTGCATAATACATAACATAATAATATGTATGTTTTACGTATGTCACATACCTATTTTTAATACTTTGCGATGTATTTTCACTTTTTCAATATTTACCCTTCTTTCTGTATATAATATCCGTTGGCCATAACAAAACTTTGTAGGACCCGCAGATACAGCAACAGACAGTTATTAGCAATTTATAGTCCAATAACTTTAAAGTGTTTTATTCCACACCCCACATAATAATAATGAAAAGTTTGGATCGACCTCTATTACTTTATTTATGATGGTGCAGAAAGTTTTGTTCAAAATCATGGTCTAGAAGTTCTTGGGGTAGTGCCATATGGAAGGGATGATATTTGTGTTTGTTAGTACTGCGATTAACGGTAGATTGGGATGTATCACATAAGCTAGCTACTTGACGGCTACTAAACTTGAAGTAAACGTCCAATTCAACCACTAGCATCAAACTGTTCCATTAAACACAGAAGGGATTGTCTAGTTGATATATGTGTACGTCTACTTCGCCTTGTAAAGTCTTATTGCCAAGAAAGTATTTTTTTCCGTCTCACCCAGTACATAAGTTATATCAATTAATTCAGCATTAGGAAGATCCATACTTCGTTTTTTTTTTTAATTTACTGAAACCACAATAATTTTTTTGAATTAATTTAATCAGTTGGCAGGTCAAAAATTCGACAATGTCATTTTATCATGGTCAACTAATATTATAGCAATAATCATAGACAGAAAGACGAGTAAATATTTGAAAAGTCAAAATAAATCGCAAAGTATTAGAAATAGGTATATGACATACTTAATAAGGGTTGTAGGTTTTTGCAATATTCTTTTTAGTAAAATTAAAATTGTGGAAAAACTATTAGGTTTAGGTATGCATTACTGTTAATAAAAAAGTTGAACAATTTTAAAAGGAATTCAAAACGAAATTTAAAAATATGGTGTTTCATTTTTACCCTGCATACTTTGAAATAATTTTAAGTTGTGGATCCTAACACTTTTTACATCTTTTTTATTTACCATTTTCTCATAACTTTTGAAAGTATTGAGATAATGAACTTTACTATATGCTTCAATCATCGTGTACAAGTAATTGCTTTAAATTCAAAAGCCAAGATATCCTTTTTATTGATTACATTGGTTGAATATGAAATGAAATGAAATTATTGCAAATTAAACGAACCGGGAGTCCCTCAAAAAGACCTGAAATGTACTCCTGTGGCATTTGTTCCCATATTCGAAAAAGAATATTTTGATTGATGGTTCTATGTTTCCATATGGTCCCAAACATGCTCAATCGGATTTAAGTCATTGCTGTTCATGGCAGTAATGTTTTCAATAAATATTCTGGCTGCGTGCGGTCGTGCGTTATCGTGCATAAATATGAAATTGTTCCCTATATAAGGCCCAAAAGAAACTACGTGAGGTTCAA